GCTATTGACTCAGCACGCAGAAAGGGAGACCCGTGTTCAATAGGCTGCCCGTGAGCGGGCACTGTTGAATTCTATGGCAACAGCAAGGTTGCAAACAAAGGCCTTGGCATGGGGACCCTGAGGCCCTGCTCCAGGTGTCCCAGGCGCAAAGCAGGTTGGGTAGAGAGCTGTGGAGCTGAAGCAAGCTTCAGGCAGCACTCTGCCCACCCCGCCCCTCCAGCTGCAAGCCTCCCCCTTTCTGCCCGCTTCTGTCTTCTTTTAGGCCCAGAACACTGTCCAGCAACAGACAGGCTCACAGGCAGAAAACCCTTGTGTCCTTATGTTTGGGCTTTGAGGAGGCCAGTCCGTGCTCGGCAGCAGTCACTTCAAGCTTTTTAAGAGCAAAGATCGCCCCAAATAGACATACTGACATGTATGCCTGTATACCTATGTCCTTGCTACCAAGATCCTCTACCAAGTTCATAGAAAATGCATGTTATTTTAAAAATACATGGATTTCAAATATTTTACACCAAAATAAATTTTTCTTTTAAATTTTATGTCATGAACTTTTTTGTTTACCTATGTAAACAAAGAACCCAAGAAACAGATGTTTTCATTTGTAAAGATTTATTTATTAATTTGAAAGGCAGATTAAGAGAGAGAGAGATTGCCATCTCTGATTCACTCCCCACATGGCTGCAACCGCCAGGGCTAGGCCAGGCCTGAGCCAGGAGCCTGGAACTGCATCCTCCACTGTCTCTGTAGGCATGTTAGCAGAGAGCTCAAGCAGAAGTAGAGTAGCTGGGACTCAAAGCAGCACCCCTATGGGCTGCTAGTTCACAGAGCAGCATGACCTGCTGTACTATAAAGCTAGCCCTTGGAGACAGGTGTTTGAATAGAAGCATACCACACAGAGGTGTGCAGAACTCACAGATGTGCAACTCAAAGAATTATTCAGTGTGAATCCACACACCTGTGTAAGCACCCCCAAGCCAAGGAATAGAAGAGGAACCCCAGTTCCCTCTCTCCATCACCACCAAACTCCTCCCCAAAAGCAAGCCCACCCTGCCTCCCAACACCATTGCAGGTCTTGCCTGTTTCCTGCACGTATTCTGGAGACTGCTGGGGGTGTTGGGCTGGGGCTGGGAAGGGGATTCTGCTCACTGCATCTTGCTGCACTAAGGACGTGCCTCTGGTGAGTGCTGATGTCCTTGTCCGTGAAGGGGTTACGAGGCAACACTGGCTCTGCATGGCTCCTGCCGGGACTCAGGGAGGAGCAAGAAGGAAAGTGTCTGGTACAAAATGCGCGTGCCTTCCCTCCTCTCTGTCATGGCCCACTGACTCTGACCCACTGGTGCAGGAAGACGTGGCAGCTGAGAGCTGTTCGGGCTGAGCCCAAAAAGAACTTCAGAGCTGGAGAAAGAAATGCAAAGACTAGAATCAGGGGAGGACCCTGCCGCCCCAGAATGAGTTCCTGTAAGAAATGCGTGTGCCATGCCACCCTCGATAGCCTGAGGCCCTGGTTAAGAAAAGGATCCAAAAGGAGCTGGAATGTGGGTCCCTTGGGAGAGAGCCCAGCAGCCCCCGGCAGCTCCTGCTAAGGGCATGCGGCCTTTCCTTCTAGGAGTGAAACTTGAGCCAAAACCAGTCTTCAGGGCAAAATCCTTTGCTGAGGCTACCATGAAATAGATATTTCATGCAGGCTTCCCAGAGGTCGTGCAACCCCTTCTCTTGGCTTTCTGAGTTTCCTGTGGAACTCACATGTTCCCACAGAACTTCCAGCAAGGGGGAAGTAGAGTGAACATGGTTTAGGAAGCTGCATGCTCTTGGCTTCCTCTGCTTTTAAGATTCAGGCCCTTTAGGGCTTTGAGACAGGGATTTTTTTTTCTTTCTTTGCACCTGCAAGGAAGTGGAGGTTCTTCTGAATTTTCTTGGAATATTCTGTCCCATTTCTGATCCACCTTCTGGTCCTGGAGGATTAGTTCTCATTGCAGCAGAACCCACTCCTAACTCCAACTTCAGAGGACAACACTGATGCTCAGGTAACTGGTGCCTAAAGGATTTTCTTCTTTAGAAGTGTGGCATTTGTGGGAGAGGGACACGAAGGCAGCAAATACCATAGCTACAATGATTTATTATTATTATTGCTATTACTATTAAAGAGAAAGAGACAGAAAAAGAAATCTCCCACTCATTGACTCCCCAGATACCCACGACAGCCAGGACCTAGGAAGTCAGGAGCTAGGAACCCATCCACACGTATCCACATAGCGAAGACCCAAGTGCTGGAGCCATCACGTGCTGCCTCCCAGCGTGAGCATTAGCAGGAAGCTGGAATCCAGAGCAGAGCCTGACTTGAACCCAGAGCCTCTGATGTGGGATGCAGATGGCCTTAGCACCGTTTCAATCACTGTGTCAAACACTCACTCCTATTTTATTTAATCTTCACAACTACCACATCAGGCAGGTATGATCATTAGCCCATCTGACCTGTGGCCCAGAACGATGGAGTTCACAAAGCCAGTCGGAGGTCAGAGGAAGACCTCTTTGTAAGCTCTCATTGGCATACTATATAGTAAAACGAAGTTGCCCCAGTCTCACTTCGACCTTGATGTTCTGGAGGAAGGAACAACCAAACGTCACTTGTTCTTGGATCCCGCATTCCCTTGACCACCTCAGTTTTAAAATGGTACCCACATAGCCACACATTGGCAACAGCAGTCCCCATAGCAGAGCCACCTCATGCCCCGCCCCCACTCCTGGTTTTCATCTGGAACTGCTTCAGAGCTGAAAGAAACAGGCACCCAAGCCAGAAGTCAGAGGGTCTGGGCAGCAGGAGGATTCATACAAAATTCTGTTCCCTGCAGTCTGGCCTGCTAGAACACACATTTTCTGGGAGGCACACAGCCCAACGCCCACAGCTGGGTGAGGCGGCGACTCTGCCGCCGTGTCCCTGTCATGAGTGCAGACTAAAAATAGAAGCGTCTGACAGCCCTTCCCCAGCCTGGCACCCAGTTGGCGCCCTTGGCCGTGGACACCAGGGGAGAGGGTTGTTGAGAAAATCTTTTTCCTCCACCCGAAACACACGTGTGAGAGTTTATGGCATCCTTTGTCAAAGCAGACCCCAGTCCCAGTGGCCCTGTACAATTTCCCCAGGAGAATCGCAAAAATGCCTATTACCAAATACAGCACTGGAATTAACGCAAAACAAAGGAAAAGCCCAGTTTGAAGAAAGCAAGGAAATTGTGTTTTATATGCAACAACAACAACAACAACAAAATCCCTTTAAAATACCACCAATTACTACCTGATCCAGCATAGGAAAGCATTGATGTTTAATGTTAAAAGATTACAGGTCAGAAAGTCAGCTCTCTACATCAGCATGCTTTATTCATTTAACACTGCAGCTGTGCTGCGCTTGTACAGCCTTGCTTTTTCCTCCTTGACATTCTCTAACCAATAGAACACAGCCACTGTTTACAGAGCACATGGATTGTCTGGGGTATTGTAAGTGACCTGGAGATGCTTTATTCTGCTTTGCTTTGTTTGTTTTTAAAGTCAGAGCTACAAAGAAAGAGAGAGAGGAAAGGAGAGAGAGAGAAAGAGGGAGGGAGAGAAAGAGAGAGAGAGATTTCCCATCTGCTGGCTCCCTCCCCAAATGGCCACAATGGCTAGCACTGAGCCAGGCCAAAACCAAGGGCCCAAACACCTGAGCCATCCTTCACTACTTTTCCCCCTAGACCATTGCAAAGAGCTGGATTAGAAGTGGAGGCAGCAAGACACAAACAGACACTCCTATGGGATGCTGGTATTGGAAGGGGCACCTCTTCACTCACTCCACCACACTGCTGGCTCCTAGAGATGATGTCAGGTGCAGACCAGGAGGTACACAGGTCCTATGCCCATCTGCTATTTCCTGTCAGGGACTCTAGCATCTGTACATTTCAGTATCAGTGTGGCTTCCTGGATCCAGTGTCCCACAGATACTGTAGTCCCATTGCCCTCATGTCAGCACATTATTCCTGATGCTTAGCTGTTTCCTCCCAGACAGAAGCAAGGGGAGGCAAATTCTCCTGCTTGGAAGAACTCCCTCTTAACTCCCAACATGCCAGTGGCACGTATCTTGTAAGAGAACCCACGTGTGCATGCATCCAGATATCATTGCATCAAGCAGTGGGACCAGCTTCTCTTCAGGAGACATGCAGACTGCAAGCCACAGACCACGGACTGTGGTCTGACTCACAGACAAAACGAAACAAAAACTAAGCAGACTGCAACAGTCCCTGTAGACAGCAAGTAAAGCCTCAACTATTTACTATCTGGCCTGGAGACAAGCAGTTCGCCAATGCCTGATCTGGTTCACTCCTTTCATTTTTCTGATGAAGAAATCCCAGTCTAGACATGCAACGTCAGTTGCCACATGCACACAGTGTGGGGGGGAAGGACAGACATCCACGAAGCTGCCACCACAGTCTGCATGCCAGGTTCCCAGCAATGGATCACAGCAGCTTGTTCCTTATCCTCCAGGGGGTGTGGTGGGCTCTGCCCTCTTCCCACTGCCCACTCCTGCCCCTCCCTTCTTCTGCTCTCATCTGCTCTTGGTCTCAGAAGGTTTTGGTTACAAGATGTTCAGGGTTTTTAAAATATATGTTTAGTTATTTATCTATTAGTTGAGAAGTAGACATACACACAGAGACAGGCAAGCGGACAGTTAGAGAAAAAAAAAAGGGGGTGGAGAAGTGCCCCACCTGCTGATGTACCATACCTCACCCCAGCCCCCAGGGTCTGCCAGGGATCTAGACTAGAGGCTAGGAATTTAACCACTTAGGTGATGGAAACACAATGGCTTAAGCCATCCACTGCCTCCTAGGATGTGCACTTGCCAGAAGTTGCAACTAGGAGACAGAACCAGGCGTTGTGCCCTGCTACTCCACTATGGGACACAAGCATCTTAATCGACACCTTAAGCACGAGGCCAAATGCCTACCCCTGTGACCTGTTTCGGTTCTTTCTTCCAGGTTCACTGCTGACCTACAATACAAGCTCCCACACAGACCAGTCATCACGGCTGAGTGTCAAAGAAGGTGAGCCTGTTCTCCCCCAGGATTAGCTTCCTCAGGTAACACGCAGGGAGATGCAGTTTAAGACTGGAGTGGAAAACCTCATGTCTCTGTACCCACTTCCTTATTCCACTCATTTTCCCCCTTGCATCCTAGCCAAAGTCTTCCGACTTGTGTAGCTCTTTGCAAAAATACAATAAGGTTTTAAAATGTCTGGTACTCATATCATTAAGATAGACTCTGAAGTTGCCACCCCATGAGTGAAAACTTGTTGTTCTTAAACCAGGTCCTTTCAAGGCCTAAAAGTTCTGGAGTTTTCTGAGTTGATGACAATGAACTCAACATGTGCATCTCTTGACAGTTTTTCTCAACAGATGCTATTGACGTGGGTTCATGTTCAAAGCGATGGTTCTGTAACTCGACTTCGGTTGAGAGGCAGGCAAAGCCAGGTCCAGCAGTAATTCTTGTCTCTGGGGTCTTAACAGATACCACACAATTCCCTTTCCCCGCATCTTCATAAGATAATGTTTTGGGGAGTGGCTAAAGGCTCTGTTGTACCTTAGACATTTAAGCATGATTCCTAGACTTACTGTGAAATCACAGGTGAATAAATAATTAGCAATCAGGAAGGCAGAAAAGTGTCTTCCTGTGGCAAAAGGTAAATCCAGCAGGGGGAAACTGCTGCTGGTACTGGCAGAACAAAGGGGGGATGCTCCACTCTGCAACCCTCTCTCCTTCCGTGTGTGTGTGTGTGTGTGTGTGTGTGTGTGTGTGTGTGTGTGTGTGAGAGAGAGAGAGAGGGAGAGAGAGAGAGAGAGAGAGACCTGTTATTGGGTGGGATGCAAGCATCACTTTTTATTTATTGCGTATTGAGTAGTGTAACACAATGTAAGGGAAGAGGCTGGTCAGTTCCTCCTGGTGAATGGAGTGAACAGAGAGGCGAAGATTCCCACGGGTCTTACCCAAGGTTGATGAGGTAGGACTTTGTGTTTCCTGCTAACAGCTTATAGCTTGATAATCACCCAAAACCTTCAGTTGGGGAAATACACAGCCACACGAAGCTGCTTTAAAACTTTGTTACTATTCATTTCCTTCTTTCTCCTGAACTACCCCACACCCATACCGTTGTTTTGTCTTTGCAAATCAGATGGGTGGCATTTTTTCATGAAAACTTAAATTCTACAAATTGATCTTGCAACCAGTCACATTTTACCTGATGACCTGTTTGAGCAGCTTGCATGCTGTCTGAGATAGAATTTATGTCAGTGAATAAACACTCGAGCGTAGAGGCTGAAGGGCACCCTTTACATGCTTTGGGAAGTCACCTCGTCCCCTGAGGCTTCATCTCCCGCCGTGTAAGGGGCTGAATCCGAGTCCAGCACTGGCTCTGCAACTCTTGGCATCTAGGAGTCACAGCGTGGCTACACATCCATTCTCTCCACTTTGATTTGCTTTACATATTTTTGAAACAAAATTTTTTATTATTTTTACCTGACATAATGATCGTACGTATTTATGGGTAATGTGGTACTCAGTGCACATATCCCCTCAAACAGTCATTTCCTTATGGCGAATCTCAGAATCCCCTCTGCTAGCTACTTTGATAAGCACCTTGCATTATTACGGACTGTGAGCATCGATTTTCCTATGGATGGTGACTGGGTATCAAGAGAATCATCTCTCATTGCTCTTTCCCACTTTCCATGTTAGTCTCCAGTAACCACTGTTCTCTTTGTTTCTACAAAGAAAGTTTGTTTGGATTGCACATGTGAGTGTAATTGTTCAACACTGTCTTCCTGTGCCTAACTTTTTTCATGTGGCATGTTATCTACCAGGCTCATCCCTACTGATACAAAAGACAGGACTTCATTCTTTCTATAGGCTAAATAATATTCCACTGTGAATACAAAGCATGCTTTCTGTGCCCATTGATGGATTGATTCTGTACCCTTGATGGACACTTAAGTTGATTCGTGTCTATACCCTAATTGTTTTGCATACAGTTCGAGACTTGGTTCTTGGAAGAAAAGATGAGAGAGAGAAGAGAGAGGGAGAGAGAAATCACTGGAGAAGGGAGGAAAGAAAGGGTGGAGAGGCCCTAAACAGTGTTAGAATGAGCCAAGGAAGCTCTGAAGCAAGGAAGCTCTGGGTGCTTCCGACACAGGGGTTTCAGCGTAAGTTTTAGTTTCAAAATCGGCTCAGCTAAATTCCAGTGTTTTGCTACCCAACTCCTTCCTCACTGAAGGTCTCGGCACCAGGCTCCCTCCTCTACCTGCCAGCGCTTCCTTCCCTGGGTTCTTTTGTGTTGGGGAGTGCATTTGTACTGCTGCTAGCTCATTCAGGCTGATTGCAGAAGTGGTTCAGTCCCGCTGGGTAGCAACCCCTCTTCTGAAATAAATTAGCTGTAGTATCCAGGCAAATGCACGTGGCCAAGGGCCTCATTCAGGTACTGCTGGGCACTTATCTCCCAGCATCGGCCATGGCCTCTAGAGGCAACTAAGTCTGCGCTTTGCAGGTGCACCTTTTGTCTCCCATAAAGCTCTGCACTTGTGCTGCCTTGCTCCGCTGTCATCTCCCCCACCCTCTTTGCGAGGTAGTCTGATTCTGTATGAATGACCCAGGGACCCAGTGTGCAAAAACAAAGCACATTAGCAAGACAAAGCTAGCCAGCTTCCCTCTCCTCACTCCACCCTCCTCTCCCCACCTCTCTCTCTCTTCTCTGTCTTGTGCTCCACTCTAATAGCTATCTTTAGTTTGGAAATATTAAATGGCAGGAGGAGAAGGCATCATGCAGCTTTGGCCCTATCCTCACACACAGGTCTAAACAAAACCAGAGTTTGTCAAAAGCACTCATGCTGTCTGTGTGTGCACGCGCGTGCGCACACTCCACAAAGGGCAGGTGCTGGCATCATGCACAAAGGAAAGAAGCTAAAGTGATGATGTTTATTAATGTGTCTTCAAAGCACTTATCAAATCAGAATGCCTTTTTACTGTAGGATGGGGTAAATACCCATCAAGTTTATCTCTTGAAAAAGGCTGCCACCTCTAAGGGAAACAAAGCTGGATTTTAAAAAATGGATTCATAACAGTCTTTAAGCTCTTTACATAGTCTGTGGATGTGGGTTGGTCCAGCCTGAGCAAAACTCCCTCTGTGACTTTCTTTATCAAGGTTAGTGCACAGAAGTGGAAGCTGTCATTTAGCGTTTCCAGCAGCAAACACAGCATCTTACAGCATCCTGGGCACTAGCATGTGCTCCGCTTTTGTTCCTTGCCACATCCCTGTGAGGAAGGTGCTTCTAATACTGTTTCGCAAAGGCTGAGAGGTTCTGTAATATGAGTGGCCCCCTGAAGGATGCACAGCTTTCAGCAGCAGAGCAAGGATGCAAACCCACATTGCAGATTCAAAATCCCTCACTTCAACATTTGACACCTACGATGCTTTGCTATTCCAGTGCCAGGTGTTTAATTCCCTGCCCTGGATCCTGACTGCAGGTGACTGCCAGTGCAGACCCTGGGGAGCAGCAAGGGAGGGCTCAAGGAGTCGCGTCCCTGCCACCCTGTGGGAGCCCTGGAGTGAGTTCCCACTTCAGCCTGGCCCTGACCCACCAGTTAATACATATTTGGAAGTAAATCAGAAGATAGAATCTGTCCTCTCCCTTTCTCTCTTGAATGTATTTTTTACATCCCTCACTTCAAATTATCTTTCTGAAGAATACAGCCTTCCCATCCCAACTACCTTTGCCTTGTCACAATTGCAGCAAGTAGTCTAAATGGGATATGGTCAGAGATTTGAATAGTATTTTTGCATTGTTTTTCTCTTTCTTGCACCTTTCCCACTATCTTCTCCATCCATATCTCTAACTATTCTCGTTCCCAAAGATGAACTCACATACAACCTGTTCTCAGCACTGCCCTTCCCGGACATTATAGGGAATCACCTGAAGACCTCAGTAAAAAAGAACTGATGGCCTAGGACAACTACCATATGACTCTGACTATACAGCATAACTAGAGCAGATAAATTCATGGGGACAGAAACCAGGATAGTGGTTACCAGGGACCTGGGGAGAAGAAGTGGAGAGCTATTGTTTAATGGGACCGAAGATTCCAGTATAGGGAGATGAGAAGTTTCCAAAAGTGGATGGTGGTGCTGGTTACCCAGCAATGTGAATGTACTTAAGGCCGCTGAGCTGACCAGTTAAAATAGCTTAAACAGTCCATCTTATATACACTTTACTGAAACAAAAAATGCAAAAGTATCAATTAAAAATGCTAATGCCCAGGCCCACACATGACCAGTTGAGTCAGCATTTGCGGTGACTCCCCGTTGTGCTTGCCCCTCACGCTCTCCAGACTGCTCTGCTAGCCTGTGGCTGGCCCTGAGAAGCCCCACCTGACAGCACAAACCAGGACAGAAAAGGTACCCGCATGGCTGGCCCAGGCGCGCTTCCTTAAATGCTGGACACTTGCATTTGACTTGTCTGGTCCTTTGTCATCCCAGACAAGGAAGAGCAAGAACAATGGGTAAATCATGAGGGTATGGATGAGTGGAGGGCCTGGATGGTTACAGTTAGTTTGTTTCTTCATGGTCATTGATCTTGTCCTTGATTTTGACTTTATATCTAAGAAATCCAGTTATCTTGTTATAATTGTTTTATTTATTTGAAAGGCAGAGTGTGAGAGAGAGAGAGAGGCTAGAGGAGATCTTTCATCCACTGATTGAATGTTATGATGGTTAAGCCTTACACCAGGCTGAAGGCAGAAGCCTGGAACTCCATCTGGGTTCATTGAGTACACCCTGAAACTCCACTGGGTCCATCAGGGACCCAAGTACTTGAGCCTTCCTCTGCTACCTTCCCAGGTGCACTAGCAGGAAGCTGGATCAAAAATGGAGCAGACAGATCTCCAAGTGGTACTCAGATGTGGGCTAATGGTTTAATCTGTTGTGCTGTCACACTGGCTCCAGAAATTCTAGCCTTGAATGCCCTTATTTAGTTCTCTGAAAATTAAGCATGGTTTTGGTA